GACAGCACTCGGCGGCAGCAGGGCAGGTCACTATTCCCTGCCTGACAAGGGACAGGGTCGTGGCTCAGCAAGGTGCTGACCGTGAGACTGACAGCTGGTAAGGCTTGAGACTGTACGGGTTCCCGTGCTGTCACCCTGAGGCCATATGCCCCTAAATAAAAACTAACAATCACGTGTTCCTGACTGTCTTCAGAACCCAGCATGAGGTTTTACTGATCTGTACGTTTTCTTCATATGAAAGAAGAATTTTTTAAAAATCACCTTATTGGGCACTTGAATTGCTTTTATTGAAATAAAGAATTGAATGACACAATATTGGAGCAGCCTCAGAAAACTGGTCATTGTCACCCTGCCTGTCCTGATGGGAGTGTGGCCTGATGGCCCAGCTCATCCCTGCCTGCTCTCGTTCTGGGGACGAAAGTAAACCCGCAGCCTCTCTGCTCAAGGGAGTAAAAGGTACATCTTTTCAAGTTACATTGTCTTTTGGTGCTAAACGAGATTTCTTTGTTTTTTAGGAGAGCAGAGATGAAGTCAAGACATGATGAAATCAGAAAAAAATATGGTAAGAGTGGATGGAATCTGTGCTGTAATTGGTTAGGAATCGATGCCAGGCCTCTCGTCGTTGGTGAAGCCCCGTGGGATCTGGCTGTAGGATTTGGGCTGTGGCCTCCTCCTCTGGGTTCATCCTCTGTAACAGAAAGACACCTCTGCTGGGAAGGCAGCTGGCTTTCAGTCCCAGTGGGACGGTAATGAATAATTCCACTGTGTGTCTGGAAGGACGGAGCCATAGACAGTTGTTTCTCAGCCAGTCTTCCTCCCGGCTGCTGGTGTGCTTGTGAAGTGCTGCAACTCGCTGAGGCCCTTCTGTTCTGTTGTCATCTCCCCTGAGGTGGAGTGGGCCCTCGGACTGTGGGGCTAGCTCTCTGTGTCCCCTGCAGGCCCTTCACCCTATGTTTCTCCTGCTCTTTCCCCGCCTCTGGGTGTGGCGGGCACATTCCTTTTTGAAAGCCTTGGCCAAAACGGAGGCCCTGCCGCCACTTTCCCGGTTTCCTAGGTGTTTTGTGCTGGTTTGGTTTTGATTTCTGTGTGGCGAGTTTTGGGAGGGTGACTATTTTTTAGTGTTTGAGAGCATTAAATCTGCTCCTGTGTTGAGTGGGTTCTGTACTGATTGCCAAATCCATGGCTGACGTGAGAGTGTTTCTGCTCCTGCTCATGACCCCTCGGCCCTGTTGACTCCCCTGGTCCACCCGGAGGCACAGCACCTCGGGCTGGCTGATGACAGCCGGCCTGAGCCACTCTGCGTCCCTTGACCCCATGATCTGTCACCATAACCTGTCACTGTGTGTCACGTGTTAAGTAGTCCAGGCAGCTGTGCTAACAGCAGAATCGATCAGGAAAATGTCAAAATCTTTTCCGACTGATGCACTTACTTTGAAGTCTTCTATTTGCATAAGGAAATACATCTTTTACGGTCCTGCCCACTAAGGTGGTCAATCCCAAGGGCTAGGTTCCTTCTGTGAAGCTTCTGGGGCCCTGGGCTGTGCACGCTGATTCAGGCCAGCCCGCTGGCTGCACGTCCTTCTCCCCGTCTGTACAGGCCGCCTCTGAAGGTCATGTCCTTGTGCTGTGAACCCAGTCTCCGCCTCAGGCCTGGGTTGACCCTACCGCCTCCAGGTGTGGGTTCCGGCATGAGGCTGCCCCTGCTGCCTCTCTTCCTGCCTCTGGGTCTCCTCTGTTGAAGGCAGGTTGTCCAATGGCTGATGGAGCCTTCCTTGTGTGTCCCTGCCCGCAGCACCAACCCCAGTGTCCCATCCTCGCCTGCCCCCATTTCCCGGGTCCCTGGCTTGGGGGCTGATGGGCTCCCAGGTGAAATTCCCTTGTCAAGTAGCCTCAGCATGTTGCCTTTCCCCATCCCTGGCCCCTCTGCCTGCGTGCACGCTGGTGCCCACTGAGCAGCGGTGTGACTCCCCTGGGCTGGGGGAAGCTTGGTTTCCACAAAACTCAAAAGTGTCAGAAGGGGCTTTTGGCATCTGATTAACACTAATGCAAATAAAAGACAAGATGAATGGGTGCACGCACACAACAAAGTGCTTTTTACTGCCAAACTCAGGCAGCATCTGAGGTCTCCGACCTTTGCTGTGCCCCATGCCTGGGCCAGGGCTCTCAGTGGAGGTGGCATTTTCTGTAACAGTGCACCAATTGGCTTCATTCCTACTGTTTGGGTGGTTAATTTGGCCTTTAATTGCACTGGTGAAATGGACTTGTCGAGCCAGTTTATAATACAGCCCACTGAACGGCCTGGACTTTGGAAAGCCCAGCTACAAGGAAGACTTTTGGGAACCCCCTTGGAGAGGGGAAGAAGGCACGTGAACATGCTGGGTTCAGTTAACACCCTAAATACCGCACCCACGACAGCCTTCTCTGTGTTAGAAGGCGTGTGATTTCCTTATCAGAGCAGTTTACCTCTGTTGTTCCCTCTGGACTAGAAGGAGAGCTAGGAGCTGTTTGTTTTTTCAACCAGACCTGAACAAGACTGCTGTGCTAGGCATTTGGCACATGAGCGCTCTGTACCAAAGTGGGCTGTGCGCTTCCCCCCAGGCCCAGGGCCGCTGGTGCCCTCGAGAGAGGAGAGAGGCAGCAGACCGCGCAGCCCCTGCCTCCCGGTTCCTGCTCTGCTCTGCCCCTCCCCTCCCCCAAAGAACCTGCAGTAAGGAGATTTGTGGCACTGGCTCCAGATAAGTTTGGCACGCGATACAGATTTTTCTGCGTGTGTACTTCCTCAATGCAAAGAGAAAAGCACATGGATTTATTTTCATGGTTAAATACATCATCACACTTATGTCATAACACTTGACAGTTAAATTGACAGTCTCCTTAGTTCTTTCTGAAGACTTAATTCTAAAAGTTAATCACCATTTGTAAGGACATTTAAAGACAGGTGGTTTTGTTTTGTGTTTTTCTGTGTAGTATTAGCCGCCCACTGTGGGAAGAAATTTTGACTTATTTGCTGATTCTCTCAAAGAGACATTAAGAAATTTAAAGTCTTTTTTTTTTAGGATCTGTTTTTCTTAGAATCATTGTTTCCAGTAAATTTTATTTCAATTTTAAGGTCACCTGTGGTTTGACCTTCAAAAGAGGTTAAGCGTAGTATTTGAACCTGCTTATATTCGAACAGCATTTTTCTCATGGTGTCAATAAATCTTCACGTAAAAATTATATTGCTTTCTTGAGTTTTGTTTGCCATTGGCTGAACGCGTTTATAATCAATTCTCTTTCATTTTCAGGTTTGTTTAAAGAAGAAAACCCATACGCCAGATTTGAGAACAACTAGAGCGCACTCCGCGGCACGCCGAGCGCTCCGAAGCCGCGGTCGGGGCGGCGGGCCTGGCGGAAGCAGCCCAAAGCAGCGTCCTGCTCAGTCTCTCGGCCCCGAGCTTCTGCCCCTGTCCTCTCTGGTTCTCGATTTAGTCACTGAGACACGGAGCCTGTCGGGGTTTCGGTTTTTGTTTCTGTTTTTAATTTGAGGAGGAAACGTGCACATTCCGCTACCCTGCTCTGGTGGTGAGCTAGCGACAGCCTGACAGTGCCGGTGCCCAGCCGGCCCCTTCTCCGTCCTCCTGTTGCAGCCGCGGAAGCCTGCCTTCCTCTCAGCCCGCCGCATGCTTCACCAGCAGTGACGGAAGGTCGTCTTTACTTTTGTCAGAGCACGGACCAGCCCCTCGTCACCTCCCATAGAACCACGGGCAGCCTCTGTGCATAGCCTCCCGCGAGTTAGTTCAGCCAGCCCCGTCGAGCACGTGTCCAGACGGTCTGAGCAGGTTTCCTTCCTGACCTTGGGTGCACCGAGTAGCACTGTAGAGTAGTTAAAGTCACCTTAAATCTTTTTTTTCCTTGTAATAATTCTTTGACTTTATTCCCCCACCTAAAAGATTTCACCAAAAAGCTTTACTGTCAAATTTCAGACCACTTGCTGGATGATTTTTTAATTTGTATGTTTATTAGAATGTCAATATTTTTTCCCAGCGGAAACTTGAATGATAGATGAAGTTGTACAGCAGCGTCCCTCAGGCGTGGTTGGTGGCAGCGTGTGCCGGCGGTGGGCTGGGGAGGCTGTGGCTACCCTGCTCGTTCTGCTCAGCCCCTTTGACAGTCGCTGTTGGGGCCCAGGTTGCGGTCACACAGCCTCTGGAGTGCTCTCCTGAGTCTGAGACTCTCCCTGCCTGTCAGGCTGTCTGCTAGGTGGTCATTTAGGAGTTGAGGGTGACCACAGGTCTGCCCTCAGGAAGCAGAAGGGACCGTGTGCTGGCCAGCGTCCCTGCGGGGCTCCGCACTCAGGAGGCTGAAGGGGTTTCCCCACGCCACACGGAGCCCCGGCGGTCCTGCTTGGGAGCCGACTCCCAGCCCCCAGCCACGCCGCTTTGGCTCGGGCCTGTTGTGAGGATTCCCTCCAGGGCGGCTTCTCACACGGTGGTCCGGGGCCTCCAGGAGCTCTGTGGTGCCATATGTGGTGGTTCCATTTCTTCTCGATCAAAATATGTGCTCAGGAAACAGACCGAGCATCTCCTGGCAGGGGCAGCAGCAGACAATGAAGTAATTGTGTCATAGCCTTTCTTGCATCTGAAAATAGTTCCAGTGGCCAGATTGCTTTGGATCAGAACCACATTTAGCTTGGGGAAGGTAGGTCAGCAGGCACATAAAGCGAGTGACGTCCATTCCGTTTTCTCCTCGTACACCTCACTGTGGAGACAGTGCTCTTAAGATCAAAGTTTACGTGCAGATCAACGTCATCAAGACGCCTTGATGCACCTTTTTACCCACGTGATCTGTGCTGTGAATTAACATTTCTACCCTGAAATTTTCACTAATTAAGAAACTAATCTTGAGCACGTTGTTTAGTCTTATTCTCTGACTTCTTGGGCATTTGATGGCAAAGTATTATGAACCCTTCTCGGTATTTTCTAGCAGCCTGCACGTTCTGACTTTCTACTGTTGATTCAGAAAAGCAGCTTTGTCCTGGACTTCAGCGAGCTTTGTATTAATACGGTAGGTAGTGTGGGTGTGAAATCACACTGCTGCTGGAATCGAGGTTGCTGAGCTGGAAGTGGGGCGAGGACGCGTTAGATAGGAGCCTTCAGCCCTGTCACACAGTCTAGAGCCCAAGCCGGGGCGTCCGCAGGGCCATCTCAGGCCAGTTGCTTTTTCCTGAAATAGTACTAAGAACAGCCAAAAATTGTAGCCTCAAGGAAACCATGAAGTTTCGAGTGCCTTACTTTTTAACCAGTTTCCAATAAATGGTTTAATACTTGCTTTGTTGAATACTCTGTGTTGCGTGTTTCATTTCTTGGTGGTGGTGATGGTGGTGACACCGTTACATGGAGAGGGAGGGCAGTCAGATTTCTAGATCAACATAGACTTCTGGACCCGTCATGGAATGTGTGCACTGTCTCCAAGTCTAATACCCGTGACGACAGAGTGGGCTGCGCCACGTGCTGAAGTCATCCTCCCTGCCATAGGTTCTCCTGCCGGTGCACCCTGAAGACAGGCTGTCCTGCTGCAGCTGAAGGCGTGACTGTCAGCACCCGGGGTCTGCCTGCCCCACCGGGTTGTCCTTGTGCTTGGCTGGAATCAGATACGAAGAACCCGGGAGAGAGCAGTTCTGCCTTTGAGGTTTGCGCTTGGCGCCCCTGTTTGACGTGTCGCTGTGCACGGACACCTTCCTCCCCCGGGGCCTTCAGGGCCTGGTTTGTGGGGAGGGCCTGTCTCTCCTCTCAGTCACTGCCAAGTTGTTTTTGCCATCACGTCAGTCGCTGGGACTCCAGACTTGATCTGTGCTGCAAGGGTTGGTGTTCATAGACATTCGCCAGCCTGTCGGTGCTGTGGTCCCTGTGCGATGTGGGAGCCCACCCCCGCGACCCAGCTGCAGTATAGTGGCTGCATCAGCCCACTTCCAGGTCAAAGCACACGGACCGGTCACCGCCGCTGCTTCCTTCTCGAATGTCTGAAGGTTACAGGCCTACATCTGGAACCGGGGAGGCGTGAGGTTGCAACTGCACAGTCGTGCAGGTGGCCTCGTGCCTGGTGCATCTGAAGAGTCTTCAGTTTACATGAGAAACTTGCATTCGCCTTAGACTCATTGGAGAAGTGTGACGTCTTCTGATTGTGGGGAGATCTCTGCTTTGAAAGGAAGGGATGATCAACGAAGCACTTCCTTTATGATGTCTGCTCTTCAAGGAAAATCACTTTGCAGGGTTAAAAAGTGAAGAATCAGTTGTGTAGACGGTGGCATGGTCCCTATTTGCTGGTTCTTGATGTCCTTGCAGAGCTGGTCTGTGTTGCAGGGCTGCTGGTCTGCACCGCAAGTGTGCCGGGTCGCGCACGTGGCCACCTCCCGAGTAGCCTTGGAGCCCCTCGTTCCACTGGCCCCTTCAGGAGGTTGTGTGGTGGTCTCCAGCTCAAGGCTGTTGGTGCTGCTTCGTGTGATGAGAGCGAGCTGCAGGCCCGTTCCTTAGGATTAGAATTCTGGATCAGTGTCCTGATGCTTCTTTAAAATGTTGGTAGAATCTGCCGAATTACCCTGCAGAGAGTATACACCTTGCTTGAAGGAATCTGTGACACTTTGCTCTATCGAGGTAAGTGGCCCCAGGGGCATTTTCCAGAACCCCATCTGGCAGTAAGTTACCCTGTGTAGACGGTTCTCAAGGGTGGTCCAGCTGGAAGCAGCAGGCTCTGCGTGCACACGCGTGTGTTCAGTACGGTTGAGGATGGACAGACTGCAGGTGGATGCCAGTGTGTGAACATCAGTGAGTGCCGGGGCCACTGGCTGAAGATGAGGCGAGAAGAGGAGTCAGGGGCGTCAAAGGAGACCACACTGAGGAAAGTCGACTCCATCCTGTTGCTGCTTCTGCAAGGTGGTGGCTGGCTGTCGCAAATTCTGAGAGAGGAGAGAGCGGGAGGAAGGGAGGGTGCCGGGGTCCCGCCCCGGCGGAGTCCAGGTTCCTGAGGGATGGACGGCGTCGGCGCGATGAGGGAGGGGGAAAATAAAGGGGACGTGAGACTTGGGTTGGTGTTAGCAAGTCCGACTTTACTGTGCACAAGTGTCGTTTATATATTTTTCAGGATTAGTACAGAAATAGTTTTACAAATATTCTCAGAGAGATAAGGAAGTAAGAAACGGGCACAAGAATATTTATTAGCATTCCATTTTATAGAGCATAAGGTTAATGATCGTCTTCTCTGCAATTAGTGTTTGTTGTCTCTAAGCTAAAGGAGATAGGTACCTAGGCGTCTGTTGTAATTCATGGTAAAGTTAAATCAAAGAGAGAAGGTCCAGGCCTCCAGACAGGACAGCAGCCCGTCTGGTTACATCCTGGTGGAGCCATCCCTGCCTCCCTCAATCATTTACGCCATTAGTGTAGATGGTTAATGGGAACAAAAGGCGACTCCAGGGTGTCTTATCCCCAGGGCTATCTGCATTCTCAGCGGGCAGTTAAACATCTTTACTTTTTCGCGCCCTTTAGGGGGTGGAAGCATTCCTTTGTCTTTTAGATTGTAGAGCTAACGGTCCCTTAAGTACACTGCTGGAGAAAGTATCATATTGTTAGTAAAGTAAAGGGCTGAAAAGCTAAACTAAACTATATATCTTCAAGAATAAAAAAGAGAAATAAGTATACACATAACCTTGATAGAAAGCATGTATATAATTCAGAAAATATCAGGGGTGTTGGCCGGCCATCCTTCACCGAGGGGCATTTTTGCACCCCTCGGCCCTTCTACTCACCAATTATTTATTGTTTATTGCTTTTAGGAGAAAACCTCTATAACATTTTAACAGAAAGCAGAAGGTCAAGAATAATATATAGATACTTCTTGATCAACCAATTAACCAACAAACTTAGAAGGACGATGCATATGTATATTTAGACAAAGAACTGGAGGGAGAAGGAAACATTAACCAGATGGAGGCCATAAACCTAATTCAGCATCTTATCTGGGCAGGATTCCTTTCTGATTGTCTCAAATGGGACTGTGTGCTCCTCCATTAATTAACTGAAAAATATCTTGAAAGTTACCTGCAGGTGGTCACATTCTCTTACTATATCTAATTTTCCCGGGAGGTAGTGCCTCCCAAGCAGCCACCCAAAGGAGTGAAAACTGGAGGTTAAGATAGGAAGAGGAATGAAGGGCAATTAGAAGCAGCACAGGTTTCAGAACTGTGTGAGGGGCTGGCCGGTTATTCTTCACCAAGGGGCGGCCCTGCACCCCTCGGCGTTAATCGGCTGGACCCTGTCAAACAGCCGATCAATTGATGTAGCCACGGCTCCCAGCAGGAGGGAGGCAGGATGAGCCCTTGTTCCGCTGCTGCGGGTGAGTGGTCCAAGGCCCCCTCACCTCCTCCTGCCCCTGCTCCCCCTCTTCCCATTCTAGGCCCCCTCTCCAGCACCCCTGCTGATCCCGCTGTTTTCCACAATGCTGTGTGGTGCAGGTCGCAGACCCTGGTGACCATGCCCTCCTCAGGCCGGGGCTGATTTGGTGGCCATTCTTGGTGCTCGTGGTCCACTGGCTGGTGCCCTGTGAGGCCCTGGAGTCCAGACAAACTCGCTGTGGCCCATTACTTAGCAGAAACCTGCACGCCTCACAGTCATCGCTGCCACTGTCGAGCTTTCTCTGGCTGTGTCCACCACGAAGAGCGGAGTGACCCAGCGGCAGCCACAGCTTTGGGACCTTACTGTGTCCCCTGGTACAAAGGTGTCCAGCCATGCCTGATGGGACAGGAGACACTCCCCAAGTGGGTCGCTGGGAGTTCGACTGCCACCCCTCGTCCCCGGTCCCATGCATTCTCCTCGGGACACAGCCCCCTAAAGCGGCCTTAGTGTCAAAGTTTCTGCCCACGTTGAGAGACAGAAGCGGCTTGTTGACTTATGGACTGGAGTGGCACATTTGGTGCCCTGGGCTGCTAAAATGGGTGGATCCCAGCATGTCTGGGGGTTCAACCCCCGGACACTTACTTCCCAGTCGGCTGTGGCCATCCTCCCATGGTCTTGAGGCTCTGCATCCCCTGGGCTCTCTGAGCCCTGTGCCTCCTGCCAGCAGGTGGGAGGAGAGCAGGCAGCCCAGGCCAGGTGGGGAAGTGACTCTGTCACTTCCACTCAATTCCATTGTCAGGAGCTGGTCACTGCACAGGGCCTGAGAGCACTCCTGGCGGGGTAGCCACCTCCCTCGCAGGGGGCCGCATCTGAAGGCACGGCTGGCAGCAGAAAGTGAGATGATTCCCCGCTAACAGGATCTCTCCGTCTCCTCCTCAAGCCAGCCCTGTGCCCAGAGTCAGTGCCACCCTCGTGGAGAAGCAGAGGGGCTGCCAGTTCAGCCAGAGCCTTGCTGGACTTGAAGGATCTCCTGCTCCCCAGAGTGAAGAATGCTGTCTAACCCACAGTCATGAGGCAGATGCTTGGTGCTTTTAAACCCTGAGTTCGAAGAACCATTCGTCACTACAGACAAGTCACTAACCACAGTCCACGTAACGCTCCTGAGTAACTTCTTCCACTCCTGGTTCTCTAAGCTACGAGTAGTGGCACTTCATTGGCAAAACACAATGCGTTTCCTTTGAGAGCAGGCATTGCGATGGGGCTTTCATGGTGACTCGGAGTGAGGTTGGGGTGGTGGCCCTGCCGGAGGCGCCACGTTTACTCAAGTTTTCCAAGAACACGCTGTTCACCAGCAGCCGTCTCTTGGTGGCTTTGGTAGTGAGCCCTGTCTGTCAGCAGCCCTTGGGGCCCGTGCTGCCCACTGGGTGCCTGGAATTTCTTTCCGCTAATTCTCAACCCGTTATTTCACAGCCTCTCCATCGTCTCCGGCGCTGCTCCTCTCCCGGGACTGGATCTTACCTTCCTGCGTTTTGTATGTATTTGTTCCTTTTGTTTTACTTTATCAGTGATCCACATTTGGCCAAATTATTAGTATCTCAGACCGAGGGTAAAGATTGGCATTTTCTGCATGCCTCATGATTTCAACTTTGTATCCCTAATAAGAGCATTGCCATTTTTCTTTTTTTCAGCATTTTTACAAAATAACGAGGGCCACCTCCGGTGACTCATCTGGTCCTGATCAGAGAGACTCCTGCTCCC